CTGCTCACCAGAACATTCGTTCGTAATCGTTCTCTTCTTCATTCGTCGTTGTCGTTGTCGTTTGTGTTTGTCCATTTGGCATGAAAATTTTCAATTGATAACGCAAAATTCAATCACAAAATCACTCAATGCAATCGACGGCAAACATGTGTTTTGAGAGTGTACAACAAAATTCAAAGTCCTTACGTTCGATTCCGTATCTCTTGGCATTCATGAAAATTTGTTCTCAAGAAGTCGTTTATGTACTGCTCTCTGTAAATGCCTCTATTCATTTATTCGTTTTGTTCATGTGACAATAGTTGAAAACCTCACAATACTTGAATGTGTGTTGCGTATGGCCAAAGGGACAACAATTGACAATAAAAAAAGAGAGAAATAAAATAAAAGAAAACTCATAATTGAAAACCAAATTGCACGCAACCAATAGAAATTTAAACAATTAATAGGAAATGTGAATTTTGAAATTCGGTATTATTTTCATTTCCATTATCATTATATTCTTGCCTTCTTTTTTTTTATCTCAACTCCATGTCGCATGCATATGTGCATTGTATAGAAATTGTCAACCGAATAAAGGCACTAAACTTACGTGCATGTTCTTCATTAGGCAAAAGAAACGATACAAAGAATGCACACAAATCCAACAAATTTATTGAATGTGTGTTACTTACAGCATTGATATCGCTTACCAAGTAGTTTTGTATGTATTTCGTTTTGGCGTTTCTACTTGGTGATATATTTGGTGCACATTTCATGCTCTCTTTACTCTCTCTCTCTCTCTCACTCCCTGTATACTCTTGCACTGTCTAGGAGTTTGGTTTACATTTGCGGCGCACACAAGTTCCAACCGAAATAATGTGTGATACAAAAAGGAAGCATTCGCCGTAAAAAAGCATTCCATGTCCAAGTTCTCAGACTTACCATATATTTATCTGCAAGCCTATTGATATTTGATCTTTGATCGATATCGCTATGTCATACACATGTGTGCCCGTTCATATGCGTGCTGAAGCGACACTAAGAAAACGCAAGGCACATTCGTGTTTTGTAGCAGCCATGTTCAATGAAAAACCGATATTTATTTACGTCGAAAAACCAATTTGCTATGAATTTCGGCTTGGCGTAGCCCCGAAAATGGAATTTTATACTCTCGTTGGTTGATACTTACCGTTCTGTTTCTGTCGCATGACAATTTTGCCTCTTTTGCATTGCCTCCTGTTTGGCACTCAGGTAGAAAAATGACTGTGCTCGAAAGACATTGGATTCGGAAGAGTAGTGGGGATAGGCGTTTGTGGTTGAAAATAGTCTTGAGCTTGTATACTACTTACTTATATAAGATCGCGCCGGACCTCAATTCAATGCGACGAATTAATAAAATGAGGATTTTCATAAATTACGATTTTTACGAACCGAATAAATGCTCTCACACGATTTAGAAAAACTGATGTGTATATAAATATGCGTATATACAGGCATTTCTATTCTTGTTTTGTACCTTATGTTCTGTAAATGATCTTGTGCCCAATTTAAAACGTTTGCCGCTCAAATTCACTGTGACATTTTTTTCCCTTCATTTCCGTTCAAGATATTCCATATCATTTCGTTTCTTTGTGAGTATATCGCTTATGCACTCGGATTTCGTGAAGTGCATTACATAAACCCATGTCGCACGCAATTCCACTTATTGCTCGTATTGCCTTCAGAAGGAAATTATCCGTAAATATTTTGAAATTGAATGACAAAATGGGCGACGATCGTTGTTTTTTTTCCCTTCAAGTCATAATTGTTATCATACCAGCGACAAAGTGCTCCTTTCAGTTTACCATTCGTTGTAACTACCTTTTGTGAAAAAAATTTGTTGAATCTTTTGTCATCATCATTCGGTAGGTTCGAATTAACAGTAACCTGAAGTAAAATGTTCTCTCTTTTTTTTGATGCATCATAATAGCTCAGTGTCCTGCCTATTGCTCTTTTGTGGTTTTCGCAATATGCGTATTGAGCATCATCTCCGTATCATGTCAACATACGAAAAAGAAAAATCGATGCGTTCATCTCGTTGGCAATATACATATATTTTTATTTCTCTTCTTAGCGTTTAACTTTGGTTTGTATAGATGCTTTAAGTGTCACAATTGAAACGAAACGAAATTCCCTTCTAATATGTGTGTTAAATTGGATGTGGGAAAACGAAATAGTTCAGGTAAACATCGTATCGATTCAGATGCCCAACACGCAAGACGATAGATTTACAGTAGAAAACCGAGAGAGAAGAGAAAAAAAAAGAAATAAATCGACAGAAGAATTAAACGCACAATCAATATTGTTTCTCTTTCTTAAGACTTCTTCCTCTGATTTTTCTTTGGTATAGTCTGGCTGCACTGTACAAACTACAGACACTTTTTTGTTATAGCATCAACTTTTTTATGATTAATTAATTTAACTAAAAATTATTAAAAAATAATTTCTGTTTTGAATGCAGCAATGCTATGAAATGGAACTACATCAGTGAAAATAAGAAGGTATAGCAAAAATATTTTTGCTGAATTTCAAAAATTTTATTTATAAAACGGTTTTTATCAATTTAAGAGGTTGATTTCTTAAATTGCATTTTTAAAAAAATCCTTGCCGTAATAATTTTCGGGATTTTCAATTTATTTAACTTTTCCGAAATTCAAGAAAATATTTATTATTTAGAAATAGTTAATAGCTTAGGTTACATCTATAGTTTGCTTCAACCACAAATATACGGAATAGATAGAAGAAGAAAAAAAAACGAAAAAGAAACGGACGCTGAGAGAACGATGCAACAAAACCCAATGAATGTAGCCATAGTACAAGTCGGGAAATGTTCACTTTTGGTAGCATTTGAAAGTATTTCGGAACGATGGAAAAACCAGAAAATCAACACAAACACACGCTTAGAATGAAAAAGAAACTAATCTCATAAATAAAACGTACTGAAAACAAGAAAAAAATTTCTATTCCGTTGATGATGACGACGTTGATAATAGTTGAGCAATCGAAGAAACAGAAGAGAGACTCGAACGGCCGAAAAAGAATTCGGGAGATATAGGAGGAAGAAGAAGAAGCGACAGCAGCAGCAGCAGCAGCCGATGTGACCAAGTAGTAGTTAAATTGTAAGGCAATAAATAAATTTTCTTAGATAGATAGGAAGATTAGTCGTGCGTTTTCGTTGGGCGCATGGGCATAAAAAAAGAAGAGACACAAATCGAATTTCCACTGTTTAATCTATTTAATGTATGGAGTTCAAACAATGCAAAAGGCACATCGCCTTCTCTTTCTTCTTCTTCTTCATCTTCGTTGTTCATTTCACTTAAAATTTTCGTTGCTGGTGACGACGATGTCCAACAACCGATAATGTATCATTTCTGTTGTGTCTCGAAATTCTACACATGTATATCCATTTATTTATATATGTGTGTGTGTGTGTGTGTGGATGTGGATGCACCCAAGAACAATCACAACTACAAGATTGATTCGGAAGCAGCACACCGTTATACCCTAAAATAAAATGAAATAAAATAACATTCTCTCATTTATCTATTTGCTGTTGTTTTCGTTTGAAATCTCTACAAGGCGATTTATTCACTTGCGTGTAGTAAGCTCTTCTGTCTGTTCCAATTTTTCATCCGAAAAAAAAAATCCAACAATTTAGAGATGAACCGAGTGCATTTCAACATTTAAAAAAAATCCAACATTGCTGTAATCATTATTCCAAATCGAAATGTCAATACGACTACGAACATCACATTCAGCATTCAGAGAGAATATCTATAGCTACATAGCCACATCTATACATCGTATTTTCCTAAATACAATTCAATTTATTTCGGTTTGATTGCCGATTAAACGTTCTTAATTCATGTAAAAATCCAGTTTAGTTCATCTTTCTCTGACTCGTTCAGCCTTGGTTTGTTGTGTTTATTTTTATTTTTCTCTTTATCGTCTTTTGTTTTGCTTTGATTTTTCTGGCATGACTCGATCTTGGGCGTTCAATGAAGAAATGTAATTATTTCCATTGGTAATTTAGACGGCGCGGGCTGAAAAGTGTGCGTGTGTCGCTGTAGTCAAATATTCCGTTTGAATTAATGTTTGTCGTTGTAGGCGCGTGGGTTTTGATTAAAATTTATGATTTTTTATTAAATGCAATGCAAAGTAAGTGTTTCAAACCGAGATATGGCCTGGATTAATCAAGTAACCGGGCAGACGTATGCACACCACAAGCCAAAACAATTCATTGCACTCAACTATCAATTTAACTCAATCTAATTTTTGAATAATTTTCTTCAAACGGGTTTCATGGTTCATTCGTTCTACCACAATGTTCGAAGCTAAATGCTTGAATGTTTCGATGAGCTCTGCATGGTTTGAATTACCAAAAAAAAAATGTTTCATCGATTCATGTGTCGCATTTTTGCTTGATTATTTGCTAAATGAGTAAAGTTGATGGAAATATATCGTATCCGGTGATACCACTGTTTAAATCATATTTAGAAGATTGTAATTTATTGCCGGACCGTTTCATTTTGTTTATATGGCCACTTACCTACTTCTGATCAAGAAGCTCAAAACTAATAAAATTCAAGTGCTGGCTTGATGAATATTTGTGTTGATGTGTCCCTACCGCGTGTTATTCAGGCTGCGTGAGAGGTGACTAATGCTAGTGTTCACCCACACAATTTGCAGTATGCTACTTACATTTTTTTCTCTTCTGACTGAATAGTCTCACAAAGGAAATGGAACAAGCCATGGCTTCCAGTTGAATATGTATGCGTCTTTTTCTCATTCGATAGCCTATTTCAAAGTCGATTTTTTTTCTTCAACTCTATTCCAATTTGTTTTTTTTTCGGATTTCAGCCACGACAAAAGAGAGGTGTGAGTTTACTCGATTTCACAATGCTAATTTGCTAGATGAGTGAGTCGCAATAAATTTTCATTTCCAGATTTAACGTCCGAATTGAATGTGGGTGTTAGTTTCAATAATAACCTAATGCCATCGGAGATCAGTGCGGTCACATACGCTTAACAGTACATACCACTGAAGAAAGAAGAGTTGGAAACGTTTTTTTTTTCTTTTTTGAATTTATTGGAATTTTTTTTATTTAGTTTCTTCTTTCGTCAAATATAAAAATAAAGGCCTACAGATAGAAATTTAAATACACAGTTTTTCTTATCTCAATTTCTTAATATTTATAGGTATTAAAATTATGACATGTTTTATGATTGATCATTGACTTCTTTGCCGATTCCAAAACCTTATTTATTTCTTTTCATTTCGTATTTCACGCATCCAAAGTGATATGCGAGTTAAATAAAGTGATAACGAGGAACAAATGTTTCTTTATACAAAGATAAATGAAATTAACTGATTTCCCTAACGATTCATAATAATTGTAATATAATACATTTTTTCTATAATTATGCTTACGAAACGTATATCACAGATGCTAACAAACAAATGAAACTTAAATAAGATGATAACTCGTAAGTGCTATTCGAATCGTAATGATTGGATACGTGGTTCATTTCATTTGTTATTTTGCTTGATTAAAGAATATTTGTTTGTGTATGTTTTAGGGTTTATAATGAATCAGTCAATTTTTGTTTTAAAAAAAAAAGTACGGTTGTCAGTTTCAACTGTAAATTGTCTGCAAAATAGTGGATTTGAAACATAGACAATCACTAGATAGAAACTATACGATCGCTTTGATGATAGTTCGGTAGTTAAGCGTTTCGCAAAAAATTAAATCTTAATATAAATACATACAGGATTCGTTCATTTTTTCTCTCTTCAAATTGATAACTCATCGATGTCAGTCGGTTTTGGTGATTGTAAGATTTTGCTGTTGTCATCTGTTGCAGTTGCTATTGATTGGTTGCCGCTATTGTTTGGATTGGCATTGTTTCTATTTCCGTCCTTAAGATGCTTGACTGTTGGTGGCTGTGCAGTTGCACGATGTATCGTTGGTTCGTCATTTGTTGCACTACCATAGTCCGAATCAATGCCAATGTAAACGTGTTCGATTGTTTGCTTGTCGAACTGACGCGATAAAATCGAAGTGTTCGTCGCACTCGAATAATATGAATCATTCTTATCAAGTGATTGAGGCTCATTGTAATGGATGTTGTATGGCATCATCATTTGTTTCGATGTAATTGATTTCCATGCGTCCATCGGACCACCGCTGTAGTAGCTTTGGTGTTGGTTATTTTGTGATTGAATTTCTTGTAAATGATTTGGCATGTTGAATGACGGATGTTGCATTACTACTGGTGGCATTTGTTGTGCTGTTGCGGGCGGTGCATAGTGTGATGGGTGCGTTTCCACGGCATATGCCAATTTGTATGAAAAGTCGATTTCCCATGTTCTCAGTAGCACAACACCGCGTCCAGCGTTGTTAAACAGCTCACGATCGGTGTTTGATTGTAGATTCAAGTTTGGCGCTTGGATAAGTATCACTTTTCCTGGCATCCATGAGTTACCGACTGCACTACGAATTTCCGGTCGGCTCCATTCGGTTTGCAGGAAATTGTTTGTTAAATAAATGACCAGCTTGCGCGATTGATAAGCGGCGGTGAGTAATTTGGCGGCCGACACATTTTTATGCTGCATTCCGATGCGAATTTGTGATTTATTCTGTTTTAATTCGCTGACGATGTTCAACATTACGTAATCGCAGTCATCTTTGGCCGTAAGCACTAGGGCATCGTAAACGGATTTTGTAGTGCCAACCGTGTTTCCATTGCTTTTATCTAGTGATGCATTCGATGACGAGTATATGCAACACATCTGCTCTTTGATTGTGAAGATGGCGACAAGAACGGCCAAAATGAAGAAGATAATTAATATAAATGCCATGAGTGGGATGTATCCGTGTGGAATGCCTTCGGGTGGCAAAACCAGAACGTTGTTTATCGGAGAGTTAAGCAGATTCTTGCATTCATTCGTCAAATTCCGATCGATGAGTAGTTTTCGCCCTTTGTGCTGATCTTCATTGCCATTTATAGTATCAATTGCAGCGCCAGCACCATCTTCAACACAGTGAATGCTGTTCGAATCCGTAACCACGACATTGCTGTCCCAAACGAACGGGATGAATTCTTGTAGAAAAGAGCAACTGCAGCTCCACAAATTGCGTGATAGCGTCAACGTTTTCAAATTGCGTAAATGGGGCGAATGCATCTGATAGGCTGTCAAGGCGGTTAATCGATTCCCATCCAAACGTAAAATCTGCAGGTATTTCAACGAATGGAATGTTGTGTTTTCAATATATGTGAGCAGGTTATTTTGTAAGTAGAGCTCTTTCAAGTGGTATAGCGTATTGAATTCGTTGCCATACAGTGCCGTCAATTTATTGTCCTCCAAATGAAGGCGTTGAAGGTTTGTGTTCAGGCCATTGAAGGCGTGCGGTTGAATCGAAATCACATTGCTGCTGTTCAAATACAAGGAGCGTAGATGACGGAGTTTGTTGAATACATTTGATTGCAAATCAAAAAAGTTGTTTCCGTCCAAGTACAAATCGGTTGCATCCATTGGCACACGTTCCGGTATCTGCAGTGCATTCTGTTTGCCACAATTGATTTTGTTAATGGCTCCACTTTGGTCGTGGAAGCATGCACAATTGTCCGGGCACTTGATATTACAATAACATTTTGTGTGTTCACAGCAGTGGCATGAAGCCGGGCATTTCGATTCGTAGCGACACAAAAATTCGTCGGCTGATAGCGATGAAAGTAGACGAACTGGTGTGTTCCGAGTGTGCGTTACCAAACATTCAATGCTTTCATAGTCCATAATGCGAGGATGTTGGTGCTGTTGCGTTCCACTCATGTCGTTTATATTTCTTAGCCAACCCATTGAACAATCACACTCGAATGGATTTCCCGACAAGTAGAATTCAGTGTTTTTCTTCATGGAAGCCATGGCGGAGATGCGTAGTGCGTGCAAATGCAATTTGGTGATGGCATTTGAATACAAATCGACGCGAGTCAAATTCTGTTTGTCAATAAATGTGTTCGGATATACGTTGCGGATGAGATTGTTGTTGACGAAGAACAATTCGATGCTGTTTGGTACTGACAACGAGCCAATTTCCGTGATGCGATTGTGACTTGCATCCAGTGTGGTGACAGTTATTTCGGGTTGCAGACGATAGTAATTACCAAGTGCTTCGATAAAATTACTGTGGATGTCCAACCACTTGAGATTCATTGGAATGAATGCGTAGTCAAACCAAACGAGTTGATTTTCGGACAAATTCAGCCACAGCAACGAATTTAGCGTGGCAAAAATCCCATTGATGTCAGTCAGTAGATTTTTATCCAATCGAATAGCTTCAATTTCATTGTTTTTATCAAATGCCCCACGTTCAATGCTTTGGATTTTGTTTTTGGCCAAGTTTAGTACGTGCAAACCGCGCAATGGATAGAAAATGCCGTTTGTGATGTTCGAAATAAGATTGTCCATCAGTCGCAGTCCAGTTAGTTGCGACATGTTCTCGAACGACTCGTTGCGTAAAACGCTAATGCGATTCTCTCCCAAATCCAAGCTCTTCAACATTTTCAAATCCCGCACCGAGGCTGGTACATCGGTCAATTGATTGGAGCTCAAATCCAATTCCTTGAGGCTGGTGCAATTACGGAAGGCGCGAGTGTCGATTAGTGTGATCAAGTTGTTGCTCAGTACTAAACGGTTCAGCACATGTAAGCCATTGAAGAGACCAGCACCGATGATGTGCAAGCGATTGCCGGATAAATTCAGGGTGTGTAAATTGTTGAGTGCCGAAAATGCGCGCTCGTGCACAATTCCGATCGAGTTATTGCGCAGATCCAATACTTGCAAGAAATTCAATGTCTTAAAGTGTGATTCGATGCGGGTCAATGCGTTGTTTGCCAAATTCAAAACAACCAAACGTTTTAGGCCAGCCGCAGCAGAGCCAGATTCACTTGAACTCATGTCCAAGTCGTCGTTTTTATCAGCCCCGCTGAAAATCCAACTGTCGATGTAGTGGCTCGACAATTGGTTACTGCTCAAATCCAATACCATTAGTTCGGGCAAATCACGGAACAGAGCAGATGGTAACTGGTACAATTTATTGTTCTGTAAATGCAATTCTTGCAATTTTTTCGTGTCATTTAGCATATCAGTGGGAAGGCTTTCCAGTTGATTGTAGCTGAGATTCAGATGGGTGAGCGAATGCATACCGTGAAATGCGCCACTCGCAATTTTCGTTAAATTATTGTGTTGCAATCGAAGTTCTTTCAATTGTGACAAATTCGATTCTGTCCAATCGCCATCGATCGAAACCAATTGATTATGGCTAATGTCGAGCATTTTTAATTCGTTGAACAGATTTCGATTGCCATTGCCACATGTATATCCAGAATCATTGAGCGAACCGATGCGGTTATGTGATATATTTAACGATTCGAGACTTTTTAGCGGGCATAAAATCTCATATGGGATCGCTCGCAGGTTGTTCTGTGTCAATTTAATATCGTTCACATTTGGATGATCAACAAAAATGCCATTGTCTATTTCCAATTTGTTGCCATCGCCCCATTCACTGTTGCGTGTTTCGATGTCGATGCGCCGTAAATTTCTTAAGCCGGTAAATGAACCATTGATTAGATGCAACAATTTACAGCCATCGATGATGATTTGCTCTAAATTGTCCAGTTTGTGGAAGAAACCGGCCGCAATAACACTTTCGTCGAGCACCGTATTGTCACAGTGGATGGATAGTGTGCTTGTGGTCGCCGTACCATCAACGTCACTAAAATCAATGGCACTTGCATTGTCTATTGTCCGCATAAAACACATTATCGACTGTCCATATGTTTGCCATGTGCATTCAGTGTTCGTCGTCGATTGCACTAACGCGATTGGCACAAACATGCACATGAGCACGAATTGAACGAAATGGCCAGTTTGCCGGGATTGTGTGCTCTTTCGATTGTACTGTGCCATTGCTAACGTTGCGTTTTGTTTTGTTTTATACATTACTAAATATTCTCTTTCTTTTTTTTCACACAAAATACAATTTTCGAGCTTTTTTGTCAATTTGCTCTATGTTTTCGGTTATCTGTTTTGCGCTTGGTTTAACACACTATTTTTACCGAAAGCACATGATTGTTCAATGTTCCAACTATATTTCACTGTTCAATTTTTTTCTTCCTCGCTTTTTATTTTCTCTTTGCAAACTTAACCGAATTGAACGAAATTCACTTATACACAAAGTCCTCCAATGTCCATTGACAAAATAAACTTTGAAATTCACTTTGAAAACAACTGAAGGAAGTTTTTGCTACGTTGTTCAAGCATTCTTGATTACGTTCGTTCGATGAGAAAAAAAATAAATATGCTCCGTAATAGAATCAGTAGTGGGCAAAGTAAGTTGATCGAATATTTCTTCAAACTTAAAATTTCAATTCGATCGTATGTATGTTATGTTGGGATAAGAATTTTTCTTAAATGTTTGTTGATCCGTGAATCACGTCTGCTTTGCTCTGTTGATCGAAGTGAACTGAATTGTTGTGTACAACTTGAGGGACATGGTAGAATCGGTTCTGGTTGTTTTTTCTTCGGCTGTGACCGCTCATGCTACAGAAAATCACAAGAGCAATCATCAATACATACGCAACGGTCGCATATGCATTCAATTCAACGATCGTTTTCAATACATTCGAACGTGAGTGCGTATATGTGTGTATGTGTGTGTACATGTGTTCGTTTTTGTTGTGTATTATGTCGAGAGCAAAGAATAAGAAACATACGAACGAGATGGAAACATAAAAATAGGGAATGAGATACAGCCGAATGGTTGAGCAAAGAGAAACGATCAAAAGAGACACCAAATCTAATTTTAAACACCAATTGAATGCATGCATACATGCATGCATCACTCATACATATATGAAATGGTGCGCTTGGACCCGTACATGCCACACATGTTTGAACGAATGGCACAAAGAATTAAACGACAAAACCGTATTTTTGTTTTGCTACAACACCAGCGCGACGAAGAGACGAGAAAAAAGAGTGTACAACTAAAAGGAGGGAGAAAAAGAGACACGCAGAGATAATTATATTTAATAACTCAAACTCACTGTAAGATAAAAGAGAACCAAAACACAATACCAACACATTCGCATTTGAAACGATAGAATCCTATGTTTTCGTTTTTGGTTCCGTCGTTTGCGTTACGTTGAATTCCATTCCATTCCTTTGATTCTGCACTATTATTATTGTTGTTATAAAATTTTGTCCATAGCATAAGTCGACAAAATACTTTGAATGTGCTTACAGCATGTTATGCATAAGCGATACAAAGCGAATATAGGGAAAATCAGAACTGCATGACAAAAGACACACGAACCGAATGCACACTAAACTGCGCGTTGCTCAGACGATTTTGGTTTTATATTTTGTTGGTAACATGTATTTAAATAAACCATTTATCCAAGCATATAAATATTATTACTTAAATTATTATCTCTCTACTTGGAGAATTCGAAATAAAAGACACGCATCCGCGCTATCCGCGGAATAAAAGGGCTACATGCATTCGTCGTTTAACAAAAAGTATAGGAAAGCTCAAGTATTGGAACCGCTGAATGTGATAATGGAATAACGACGACGACGACGACGACGATGACGATGACGGCAATGAACGACCATATAAGTCGAAGTGCGCATTAGTAATAAGAAGAAAAAAAATTATGCTTCCAAATGTATCCCAATACTACTAATGTCTTCACAAACGTTTTGTAAATGGTGAACAACGTTTAACGCTCTTCATTCAACTGCTTCGTTGCATTCCGCTGCAATGCACAAACGATCACGAAAGAAACTATGATCACAATCACTTAAAAGAAGACATTCAAAACAAAAAGGAATTGCCAATAAACGACAGAAATGATGCCTGAAAATGGATGAATTTGATAAAAAGAGCTATTGGCATAAAAGCAAACTAAAAACCACACAATCAAAAGGTATGATTAAGAAGACTCGACTCGGTTCGGCACAGCACAGCACACCACAGCACAGCACATCGCAGTGCAGAGCTCTTGGTCAATTTTCGCGAGCAAAATCAAACAGCAATCTTTATGTATTTCCGTCTCTGAAACACGAATGTGTATACGAATGCGAATGATAGATATTTAATTCAACAAAGAATATGCTAAAAGAGACGGGCGAAAAAGAACCCGTTTTCAGTGAAAGAATTTGGTTTTTATGATCAATTTGGCAATTATCTTTCTCTCTATAAAGCTACAAATATATCAGAGCAGTTTCTACGTCCACACACAATTTAGAAATGATTATGTGACTGGACTCTCGGCGGCAGGGCATGGGTATGGCTGGTACACCGAGCATATGCAGTAACAGTAACATCAAAATTGGTCAAATTGACTGAAATTAAGTCTTTTTTTTCTCCGCTAACTTTATGCGATGGCATCTCTAGTGCAGAATCGGTGTGAGGCATATCTAGTCGCCACCTTCAAACGGATGAAAAATTCACATGACAAATCTGAGCAGCATCCAATGTTCGATATGAGGAGTGACGTGAACCTGAGCAACATCCAATGTTCTGCATTCTATTGGCCAATTATTGTACGATGAAGCAGTAGCTCAGCACGCTTTGATATTCGTTAATGTATATTTTATTTTTTTTGTGCACACATTGCACAAGACACATGCACACAAAACATGACATCAACAAATGAATTGCATGAAATCAACTTAATTTCGGTGTGTGTGTGTGTGCTGATGCCGAGCAATAGAATTGAAATCGGAATCGTAAGCAGCCATTTGCAGCGCGTTTGCATTCATTTAAATAGCATTTAAAGAGAACACCTAAATAGATCCATTTATTCGAACCGTGCACCGATTCACTTTTCTCCTCTTTCCATTTCCATTCACCATTGGGTGGAAAACCTGCGGATTTGTTTTCATCGTTTTAGCTGTGTTCATGTCGTGATTTCATTTACAAAACATAGACTGTCACGCTGTTCATTTTCTCTCCCTGCGAACGGACCGTGAAGTGTTGCAGAGAAGAATTCGCTGTGCCAAAAAATACAAGAATGAAAACAAAAACGGAAAAAAAAGATAAAACACTTTTTTTCTGGTGTCGCAGACGCACTACTAGCTCACGTAACGTACCGTGTTCAAATTCTTCGTACCATTTGATTTGTTGTCCACCTTACGTCGATGATGCATCGTGTTGCAGGTCATAGAATATTCTAAGTCTTGGTGCGTCCTTGTGCATGCAGCGGGATACCGGGATGCCGTATTCAAAATACGAAAACGAAAAAACGAAAAAGAAAACCAAAGTATAAAAGTGTTCGCCATCTACAGAGAGTTGAATGTATTTTAAATGACATGGGCTACAAACATTATCAACAGCATGCATGCAAGAGACAATAATGCTACATCGCCACCGTAAATATGTTCAACGAATAACTCAAAACAACAACTGGTCACCCAACCAACCAACTCTTGAGAATAAAGCAGGAGGAGAGGAGAGAGAAACTCTCAGAATCACTACACAGAATATAAACTTGCCCAAAGGCGACAAATAGCAATGAAAGCTAAAGAAAAAGCAATGCGTCCATCGAAAATATTTAATAGGAAGAACGAAACATCTTTAAAGCAGAGAAAAGGAGAATCACAGCAATGAACAAAACGTTGCAGAAGCAACTACACAATTCAGCCATAAAATGTTGAACGCATTGTTTGCTTTTGAGCCGTATGCGTACTCGTGAACACAAATTCACACTGTTCGTCGTTGTTTTTTCCTTTATTTCTTTCTCGGAAATGTTGTATGTTGCATGCAGCGCAACAAAATACGAAATACAATTTTTGGATGCAATTTAGCTTTGCCATTTGAATACAGGAACAGCCAGTTTGCAAAGCGAACAACGACGAATATACAGGCGATGAGCAAAGGAAGTCTTGCTGACTTGCCAAGAACGAGAGCAGTAGATGCCATTCTCCACACGACGAGTCTTTGATAATAATACTCACCTGTTTTTGTTGTTTCAACAATTCAAGAGGCATGACTCTGAATGCCCATCAGTGACACTCTCTGTCGATGATCAATTACCGTTGCGTTGCATCCATTTTCCATCTACCGATTTTGGCATCACGCTGGACTTCAGTGATTTCACTGTAACATGCCAATGATATGCATTGATTGTGCGTATCAAATATGATTGAGGAAGAACTCTTTTATTTTGTGTTTGCATTTTTGTTTTGTTTTGTTTTTATTCTTGCTCTTTTTTCCTGTAAACTGTTAGTGTTTCCATTAAAAATAACAAGAAAAAGAACAAAGCGAGCGAGCGAGCGAGAGAGAGAGAGAGAGAGAGAGAGAGAGAGACAGAGAGAGAGAGAGGAATGATTCGAGAATAAGCACTGGTCTTTTGTGCAAATTCATACGCATTTGTCTTTTTGCCGTGCTTTTACGTGCAAATCGTGTTTAAAACTCGTATCTCGCCAAAGAGCTGCACTTAAAAAAAGAGCACATATCCCTGAATACAAGTGCCATGAGCCAAATCGACGTAGTTTGCGACTTTGAGCTGCTTTATCAGGCGTTTGAGTGACAATTTTCCAGAAATTCGCACACTCGACAATTAAACACACAATACAACATAAGCAGCTTTCATACGCGAGCGATGACAATGGTCACACAACACGTTCACAGGAAGAAAGAGTTTCGTACAAGAACTCTACATTAATGGACGAAGAAGAGAAAAAAAGTGAGCCAACTAAACAAGAATGTCACAGCAAACAGCACAATCATTTAATGATACAATATGTTCAATGTTCATGCAGCTCACACACTTGCAGAATATATGTATATACGGAATATATGTAGGTAATGATGTTGAATGGAATGGCATCCACACCATGTTTGGCGCTTCGCTGTATGCGTGTGTATGTGTACGGAATCGAATTGAACATGCATTTCTTGTGACTGTTGTCGTTAATTACTTCATTTTGTGCAAATATCTGAAAATTTAGAAGGAATACAGAAAGTGAATAGCGAAATTGTTGAAAAGCGTATAACACAAGGAACGTTGTATAATTACTTGAACAGTGTACAATAACAGCAGAGCACAGAAATGGCAGAGATGGAAACCCTTTTTTGCGATCGTCTGGTTTTTTTTTTATTGAATGATTTTTTCATGGCAACGACAATCGTCGCTGCTATTTCGGCATGAAAAAGCAATATACTCAATTGTGGAAATGGAACTGAATTTGATGCAGAGATGCAAAAACATACTTAAAATGTAATTAATACACGCCTGCGGTGGAATCATAAGTAATTTGAATTGAATGCTTCACATAATTGCATAGTCGGTGGAGGATTAGAAGATTCAATTTCAATCACAATTACAGCCACTAGAATTTAGAAATCGTTCAAGCGGATGCAATTTCCGTTTGTTTTCCATTCAATTTCTGCCTGATGCGAGTGATGGTTAAATCGTTGCACAAAAGACATTGACGTTTAATCCCCTTAA